CGGGAAAGCATCAGCGCCGGGTTCTTCCACTTGAGTCCTCCAAGGGCCGGCTTTCACCCCTGACATCTTCACCTCACCGCAGCTCGGAGAGATCCAAGGTCTCTGCTGGCTTCCCCGGAGGAAAGGTCCAGGGGACACCCAGCATTCTTGTCCGCCACCTTATTCGCCCTGAAAAATGTGGTTGTTGGCCACAGATCCACAGCCCTGCCCTTGGCTACGCGGTTCCTCCCACGAAAGAGGAGGGAAAGGTCGCTGGCAACTACCAAGAAGGTCTCTGGGAGATGACCCTTCGTTGTACCGTCTGTCGCTTTGGGATCAGCTCTTCCAGCATCACCCACAAATTACTGTTGGTTCCTAGTGTGAAAAACAGAAGCCAGTTTCCCACATTACACCACGGCCAGGTGAGGGGCTCAGATGGGGCCACGGTCAACTCACCACAACAACCACTGTGGATTTATGCACAGAGGTCTGGTCAAGCTATCTCGGTAACTTTTCAGTGAGATCTCCACCTGAGCTGACGAAGGAAAGAGCTTTAAAACAGCAATACACTCCCACAAGGGTTCTGCATCAGGATTGTGAAGTAGAAACCAGAATGGTATCAAAGCTGGATGATGCTCAGTAAGTCAATTGAAAATTAAAACTTAAAATACGATAGCAAACGGGGAATCCACCACACATGAGACCCTAGAGAGAGGAAACTGGGGAGAAAACTTCCCATTATCTCAGTGATGAAGCCTGTGAGGATGTCAGGGCTGCGCACCTACAGAAGAAAACATGGTCCACCCGACGGCTACTGACAATTCTCCACGCCATGATAGTTGTAGGCTAATCTGATCCTCAGATGAAGCAACTGGCAACGCTATTTCCAGCTGCAGCATCCACAGCTGGAGGAAGATGCTGGAGCTCAGAGAGAGAAGATGCATCACCTGCCCTACAGCAGGAGATTCCAGGGCTTGCTGCATACAACAGCACTGAAGGGGGATTTCATCATGGGTGAACTAAACCCAAAACCATGTTCTTTGCAGAAACTTTCAGCCAGCAGATAAGGAAGGGCAAGATGCATAAGCTGGAAAGCTGGAACTCTGCACGTTCAGCATCAAAGAGAAACGTAACAGGACATAATTAGCAACTTTCAAAGAGAGTTGTAATGGATTTGCCGCTGTTAATTAATTTGGGGAAGCTCTCTGACCCCTGCTACGCGGGAAGCGAGACTAGCTGATCGCAGCGACAGAAATACATCAGGCTGAGAAAGCACTGCAGAGCCTGGACCCAGCAACGAGGTGCTTTCCCTGGTGGAAAAAACTCCACATCTGTGAATTAGGGTGCCCGCAGCCAGAAGTGTAGACCTCAGCAGGCAGGCATGACAGAAAAGATCACACCAAAGCACGCTCGCAGGATTCAGCCACTCCTTCAGCATCATTCTCTGCTTCCCAGCCCAAAGCCCTGCTCCAAAACCCTCGCAGCACCCACGTAAACCCCTGTAACACCCGCAGCACCAGCGCCACAACGCGGCAGAGGAGGTTTTACAAACGCTCATATACAGGGTAACTCACCTCAGAGCCCAGCAAGCTCATGGTGATGGAAGCCTGTGCCATACCAGTGTCTTGGGCTTCAGTAAGGCTGCACACAGAAATGGTCCGGAGAGCCCCAAGATGCTAAGAACCTCTCTGCCAGGCAGCCTTATTTACCTCTTGAGTAAAGGAGCTGGTGTAGCATGGCCCTGCCATGCTCCTTTCACCCCTTTCTTCCCAATTTTGCCAACTCCCAGCAGCGACATCCCTCAACACCACACAGAGCAAGTGTTCCCTCCTGAACCAGCTCAGGATTGCAGCCCTTCTCACCTGGAGAAGAATCAGCTCCCAAGCACGTTAACTGACGTGCACTGCACACGCATTTAAAAAAATTCTTTATTTACATTCCGAAATGTAAAAAACAAAAATAATTAAAATTAAAATATAGATGCCAATTATTAAATAATTTCAGGAGAATGTCAAGAGCGTAGATCTGGCCTGCGGAGAGGGCTGGGGCAGCGGGGGAACTGGCTGGAGTTGGAACCACACAGAGCCAGCACGAGCCTAACCACCAGTGAAGGAACACTGAAACAAAGAAGAAACAGGTTGGAAACGCTGGGATGGCCATTCCCAACTCACTCTATGACAGCAAGGCTGCACAGTGACACTGGGTGCCACTGCAGGTATCTTCAAGAGTGCGCTACGTGCTGCCTGCAGCAGCTCACGTCAACTGTGACCTGGAGAACTGGGAATTCTCCATAGAATCATGGAATTGTTTAGGTTGGAAAACACCTTTAAGATCATCAAGTCCAACCACGCCAGGCATCTGCACCTTCCCCTGAGCTTAAACCAAACAGTGCCTGCTTCTCCAGGCTGATTTTAAAGGATCTTGACAAGTGACTGTCCGAAGCCGGGCAAGACAGAGTGTGGGCAGTTCCTAAGAGCTGGCTGGGATGCAAGCAAGGTGGCACCGGCCTTGTACCTAAAAATGAAAAGCTTCCAGGCTCAAGTTGGATGTTGGCCAGACATCACGTACTCCAAACAGGAATGATCGACAAGTCTGGGTCTGAGGGGCTAAAGGGCACCCGACCCAGCAGCATCAGTCTGCCCATCTGCAAGAAAGCTCAGTAACGACGTCATCCCCACCTTCCAAATCGATAAACGCCTCCGAAAGTACCAGGGAAACAAAAGAACGACTACATTCCCTGTTGGGACTTCATCAAACAGGAGGAGCTCCCAAGAACCCCAAGCACTGCAGATCTGGAAGAGTTTATTACGGAAGCAGGGACATCTTCATGGGCAATTCCAGATGTCTTTGGAAACAATTTAATGGAAGGCCCAAATCCTGGGGATTTGCTTTTTGCCACCGCCTGCTGAAATTCAAAAAAATCAGCAACCAAAAGGCTAATACAGCAGACTTTTGACAAGCTGCAGCCTGACACACTGAAATCTAGACAGATTTGTTTAAATGCTTGTGTTTTTTACAGTGAAGTGGGCGGACAAATGGAAACAGAATATTGTACGTTAGCCTGAGCTCTGTCTTGAGCCTATTGGTTTACCCAGAATGAAGCCTGAGTAATAGAAAATGCTGGAAATATCTCCCTTCAGATGAGGACAGTGGGGTTTTATTCAGGTTAAGGCAAGACTATGTAACGTGGTAATTCCTTGGCCCTTCAGCGGTGGCTGTCCTATGGCCACACTGAGCAAGGAGGCTCAAGTCCTCTCTTTCTCCTCTTTTCTTGATCCCTGCCTGCCCCACACACAGACATTCAGCCAAGGCAGAGCTCCTGCAACCCCATCTTCCCCTCAATTGCAGCTGCAAAATCTTCTCCCTCTAGAACCGCCTCTGGTGTTTGTGTAGCTCGGAGGGCAGCCAGTTCAGGGAGATGAGCTGGCAAAAAACTAACACTGTTAGAGAAGCGTTTTCTGGTGCTTCTCTGTGCTGAGTCAGCACTCCGCAGCCTCAAAAGACTGCAAAAACAAGTCAGGAGAAAAGTGAGGAGCAAAGCAGCCCAGCTTTTAATTGGGTGCTTGTAAAGACTGAGACTTACCGCGCTTCTGTTTCACTGCTTTACATTTCCCCGCATTGCGAGATGACAACTGGCAGCTTGGGTTTGTTATTTGGACCCGTAGGCACATTCTGGGGACAAACAAACACGTAACTTGGAACAGCAAATCCAGTGAGTGACGGGTACTTGACGACTGGCTAAGAGATGTCTGTACGACACCAGGAACAGGGAAATCGAGGTGCAGCTCTCAGGAACACAGAAGCGCCGTTACCTATTTCGGCAAGACCCAGCCATAAGCCAGTGAACCACAGCCCTTCCGTCAGGGCTTCTGGTGAAGGGGCTGGCAGTTATGTCCTGGCAGTTCCTCGCACGTGACTTTTTCTCAAAGTTGTCAGCTCTAGGTCTGCCCCACTTTTTAGATTTAGACTAAATCTTTTACCCCGCTTTTTAGGCGGCGCACATTATCCCACACACGTGCTGTGAACGTCATGGTCGGCTCTCTTGGAGAGCTCGCTGCTATTTGTTAAATCTGCTCGTTATCCTGCTGTGACACCCAGTCACAACAGCAGCAACAACCACCACCCATGAGCGTATTTACCTTCAGCTTCTGGAAGCCCATCAGAAGATGAGTTTAATTTTTCTTATTAAACATGCTGATCACGGATCAGCAGAACTGATGATTTAGCATCCACTGAATAATCCCAGGCAATGGCACAGAAGTGATCTGCTTTACACTCTTGTTTGAGTTGCTGATGGAACAGCTTTTCGATTCGGCTTCCTGAACAAATGCAAAGCGTTGCAAATAAAGCCGCAGGAACACAATCCCCGCTCAAAGACTAACCAGCAAGCACGAGAGCATAGCATTCCTAAAGTCAATGTATATGACAGCCTTTGCCTCAACAGATTTCCTGCTATTTTATAATGATGACAACTGGTAATACCAGTTATCAGCACTGGTATTCCCTGCTATCCTGTAAACAGGCAGCGGGAGAGAACAGAACAACCCTCGTTAATCCTCTGCACCACTTTCCAGCATGGACATTCACAGGGAAATAGGCAAATGGAACTTACTTCAATTTTTCTCATGACCAACAGTCCATCGACAATTTTACCTAGAATGAGAAAATTTATCCCCTTCAGTACAGCTGGTTTCCTACTTGTGCCCTCCACCTCACCTCATCACAGGTATGTGCATTTTTGTTCCTCCCAAAAAAGTCTTGTGCAGTGTAGAGCTACTGGGCACGTCAGGGTTTGTCACTGACCTCTAAATTGATAGAGGAAACAAACCCTCTGAAATTTTCCACCTTCAGAACATTTTTTTCCCACATCACAGCGGCACAGAAATCTTGGTTTCAAGACCTATCGCCACCAGCTTGTGCTGAAACAGAGCACCAACCACCTCTCCATCAGCACAACCTTTGTAATGACACAAAACTCCCAATGAATGATGGCCCGGTTGCTTAAGAATCAGAGGAAGCAATAGGCAGGACATCAGCTTAGAGGCTGGCCTTGAAATCCTACAGCTCCAGTGGCAGTCCAGGAAAAATTAGCAGGTGTGGTTTCACAGAATTACTATGTGAAAACTTCACTGAAAGCTCAGCTCTTTCTCCCAGCAGAGGAGAAATGCATCCCTTCACTCAGCTGTCCGCTCTGCACAAGGATTTCCGTACCGACACACTGCACCGAGCGAGGAGCTGATCTAACGCTAACCTGTGAAAAAAACCAACTTGCACTTCAAGCGATCCATCTCAGTATGTGGCTGCACAGATAACTCCGCTGGCACAAGCGAGGAGGGAAGAACAGGCAGCCTGTGGCTGGTTTTGGGCAGGCTTGTGGTTTTTTTTTTTTCCCAGCCATATCGTGAGCCAGGGCCTCCGCTGCAGGTACTCACCAAACACGACGTGTTTTCCATCCAACCAGTCGCACTTGGAGCACGTAATGAAAAACTGGCAGCCGTTGGTGCTCGGACCACTGTTTGCCTGGGGGTCGAGAATGGCAAAACACAAGCGTACCATATAAGACTTGAAAAAAAAAAGCAGGAAGACGCACCTCGTGTAGCAAAAAGCTGCTGCTCTCGACCTCGCCGAGCTCATTTTTAGGTTACTGCTGCACAAACCAAAGGAAGCAAGACAGACGCTCACAGGAGAGTGCCCTGGGCTGGCACGCCACCAACTCTGGTCATGCCAGTGCACGCAAGAGCCACGTCACCAACTTTTTATTCTCCTTTCACAAAGGCACAAGGCCGCGCTGACATCTGGGCTGCAGAGCACGCTCCCAAGGGCTGAACTTCTGAGTGACCCGTACAGTATTACCGCTACAGCGCTCTCCTGGCGAAAACTGAAAGCCAGGAACAAGGGCGGGAAAAAAACCAACCCAAAACCTCAGCTGATTTCTGCTATTTGGAAGGTTCCCTCAGAATAATAAAACAAAAATCTCTGTTCTGATGATCAGGATGAGAAAGGTAATGATCACATTGGCACAGGGCTCACGGGAACAGCCCGATGCAGACGTGAAAATCAATTCACACCTGAGCACAACCCCTAGAGCATTCGCGCTCTGCTGAGAAAACGGCTCCGCAAGGTTTCGATTTTTCCAAGCTCTGCTGACAACCAGGAGGTACTAAAGCATGTTGCTGTGCTGACGAGTGAGCTGGGCAGGCTTTGTAGCTGCGGGACTCTACAGGACACAGCCACACTGGCTTCTTACTTACTGCTAGCCAGCTCTGGAAGGATCCAGCTGGGATGGCCCAGCAGAACGACTCCAGAGCTCTGTCACTTCAACACAAAGTTGGCAATACCAGCGACCCACCCCAGAGGACACCAGCTCTTCAGCTGTGTCACGATATCTCTTTCTAGACCACACCTTGATCTGGATGAATAACTAATCCAAATGGTGAGTGCCCTAAGCAAGAGGTTTTAAGGGCAGGGCAGCCCGAAGAGCTGAAGAAGGAGCAGCCGTGGACAGGAACACTGAAGCACCGGGTCCACTTGTTTTCTACTGCAAAAGTCAGTGGATGGTTCCCACCAGAGAACATGCAGTTGCTGCAGTTTACAATGTTGATCAGGAAGCGTATATTAGAGGAGCTACCATGCTAACACTGCTACGGCTTTGAAACTCCCAGATCTCTTTGTTTCACCCTTGCCAAGGTCAGTGTTGGACAATGGTACCGGGTAAGAAGAAAACACCACCTCTTGCCACCATCTGAAAACTGTAAGAATCCAGCTGTTCTCAAAGATGATCAAACAAAGCCTGCCCCATCCTCCCAACAGGGAAAGAAGAAAGGATGCCGCAGGGTCCGGACTTTTGTGCTACTCAACACATGAACCTATGAGTAGCCTTCTGACCAGCAGTTACACAGCAGGTTCTTCAGACCTTGTACCTGACAGCAGAGATGCCTGTTGTCCGGCAAATCATTCACACACTTAGGAAAAGGGCACAGAGAGCATACCAAAAGCTTTTTAGTCTCACAATGTCACTTTTTCACACTCACCATGGAAAGCAGCCCAGGAGCAGAGTGTTTCAGCTTGAAGTTTTCATCTGCAAAAGGACCCCTGTAGATACTGGCGACTCCAGTGCCATCTCCCTGTGTGTCAGAGGTGCCCACTCAGCCACAGCAGTTGTTCTTCACCAACTGCCACGCCAACTATGCCATTTTAAAATCAAATTTAAAATCCCCGAGCAAAAGGACAGGGTTAAACCCAGCCCACAATGGATGCCGTACTGCCACCAACACACAGCAGCAGCGAATGCGTTCAACGTTTCATTTCTGAAGAGGGACAGTGAGTGGTTTCGAAACACACAGTGCATCGTTTGCCATCCAGCCGCTGACAGAAACCCGTGGGAACGGTAAAGATCGAGCTCAAGCCTTCCAGGGATGGAGGCTACAGGTTGCTCAGTACGGCCCCACCTGGACTTGGCAGTGAAGTACAGGCTGGTGTGACAAGGAAAGCAGAAGCGGTTGTGTGGAAAAAGCCAACCGCTGGTACACTCACTCATCTCACCTCGCTGCATGTTACACCACAGAGGAAAAGGATAAAAGGAATGTAGAAGTACATACGTTTACAAAGTCACCTCCTTGGATCATGAAATCCTTTATCACCCTAAGGAAGGAAAACAATACTTAGTTCTCAGTGGACAAATGGCTCAGAAAGGTTCACATGTGGCAAAAAGGAGTCCTGCCTCGCAGCACAGCCAAAGCTTTCAGGGTCTGTGGATGCTGCAGTCTAAAATCTACAGTAAATATTAACTACTGGTCGCTATCAGAAATGTGGGACCCACGGCTGTCTGACTAGGGACAGAGATCTCTCTGACGAGGGACAGTGATCTGGTGACCGATGCCAGAAAACCGTCTCCAACCCAGCACACCAAGAACCCCCCAAAGCTACAGAGCGATGATACCAGCCATGACCTACCTACAAGTGCCTCCCAAACCAAAAATGCCTCGAGGCAGTTCTCAAAACCACACCCAGCTCAGACTGCTATTGAACTGTCTCAGCAAAAGCAGATTAATTACCTGTGGAAGGTGCTTCCTTTATAACCTATGGGGACACCATCTTTCCTGCAAGGAAATTAAAAGGAAGATCATTGCAACTTCCTGGATAGCCCAACCCAAAACCCTCCCAGGGATTCAGAGTCCCAAAGGGCTGCCCTAGAGGTCGGTGATACACAGCCAAGCGCTGCAGCTCAGCTCCCAGCTGAGGCAAAGAGAAACCCCCACGGGGCTCTGCACATGAAATCACACCCTTCCCCACAACATCCACACCATCTTCACAGGTTCCCACTGCAATCTGCAGCAGGAGCAGGTGGGATTCGCAGACAGGACTTGTTAGAGCAACCTGAGCGCAAACAAAGTTGTGCCCTGAAGGGAAAGCCTGCCAGCTCCACGCCTGACCGAGCCCATCACGACTTCATCAGAGCAGATTTCTCTCCTCTTGTACTGGTGTAGTAAGACAAACTTCCAAGTGAGCCTTACTGCTTCTCAGCCAGCTCTGTTTCTCTGAGCAGACTACTTCAAAAGATTCTAGAAGCCACTTACCTGAACTCGCCTGTACAAAACTGCCTGGAAAACAAAAGAGAGCAGAGCTTGAGGCACATCTGAACTCTGCCGACATGGAGCGCTGCCTTCAGCAGCCACGCTCCGACCGCTGCCCAAGGACTTTCCTCCCTACTGCATCGGGGACAGCCCTGATCAAACGGGAACGGGTAGTAACTCCTCCCCACATCATTTCAAGAACGGACTCCTGTGCTTTTCACAGTTAAGGAAGTCGGACATTTAACACCAAGGTTGTAAGAAACGGGCACCATGAGGCAGGTGCCGCGTTTCACAGAGACCGGGGCACATCCACCGCTCCTGGGGGTCACTCAGCGGCCGAGAGAATCGAGTTCGTAAACGCGCTGAGTGTTTCA